TGAACAAGGGAAATGGGAAAGTAAAGAATGCGTCCTTGTGTAAGAAAAACAGTGTAATTGAATTCTTCACAAGCCTGATGTGCACAGTTCTACAGAAGGAGGTGGGGAAGATTTCAGACTGTTAGAGTTTAAGAGTTAGTGTTTCTTTTATCCTCACTCTTATTCACAACATGAATCCTAATCTCTGTCCTAATCAGGATCCCACTGAGTCTACCCAGAGTCACAAGTGTAAAGTCACCAAGTTCCCTTCAGTTTCCTTAGAATCTGTTCCTGAAGAACCCAGCAGTCATTGCTTCATCCCAAAGTGATGTTCTAGTCCTGTGTCCCATTCATGTCTGTGTTTGCCTTACCCATTTTCTGAGGAGGTTTTAATTGACTGTAGCTGTTTAAACTGAAGCAACTTAAGTCACCATTTCTTTTTTTCTTTTGGATGTAGCATCTTCACAAAATGTTCTTTACCAGAAGAACAAGTACATGAATTCGTAGCATATAAAGAAGTTCCGAGCATTCCTACCAACATGGAGCAAAACACTTTCAATACCACTCTGTGTCTGCTGTTGGTTCTCCTTGTGGTACTTACAGAACAGCAGAGTGAATAAGTGTAAGAATGTGTGTATAAGTATATTTATGCAGGGATGTAGTTTCATGCTGTATGAGCGTAAGTAATAGTTGGAACATACATTCTGTGCTGTGTGGAGGAATTACACTGTGTGGTGCAGGAGAAAGGATCTTGGCAAGACAGGCCCAGTGTCCGTCACTGCTCCAAGAATTTACTTTTCTGTTGTCTATTGTAAAAAGTCTGTACATGTGTGACATTTTCTCTACTCAGATTCTTAAGCAACACAAGTCCGAAATGACATCATTTTCAATAACCTGAGACATTTTTCTTTAGCATTTTACCTGAAGACATGGGGCTTTGTTTCCCCACAGTAAATTACAAGGATTTAATTTCCATTTATTTATAAATAAAACCATAGATTCAGCTTTTCAGGTAAGTAAAATGCAAAGGTGACCATGAAGAAGATTGAACACAGTTGATTTTATCAATTAATCTTTCATAACTTTACAATCTTCTCTAGTTTCACCATGAAGCATTTCAAATGTGGAAAATAAAATAACTTTTTTCTTTTCAAAGGAAGAACAGCAAAATTAGATACTGATTCTTGATTAAAATGTAAATCAGTCAAGAAATTCACCTCTGGGTTTCATTACTATTAGTACTACTAACAATAACAGTGAGAATCTCTGCAAATAACCACAGAAATTAGATTGAAAGCATCCAATGAACTTCCCTCCACCTCACACATGGAAAAACAAACATAAAGCAACTTATGCTTCTTAACTAGCAGTATTCATTTCTCTCATTGAGCTATACCCCTCTTTAGTATTTCTATGCCTTTATGGAGTTGTTCTTGAATATATTGCATTGTCTTCCTTACTTCATTCAGCTGTCTGTTTTTTCTTTGAATACATTCAGGTGTTCATACATGCCATCTTTAATTCCTCTGGTCCTTCTTATTCTTCACCTTCACTTGTACCTATTCTTATGAATTCCTATCTTTGTGGGGGGGTCTTGGTGCCTGTTTGTTTCATAATTCTTTTGTTTCTTTATTAGGATTTTCACAGTGAGTGGCTAGGAGTTTCAAACACCTGTGAAGTTTAATTTCAATTACTGAAAATGATCTGGCAGGAGTTTCTAGTGTCATGATTGATCTGAAGTTCTGCACTACTGATGTAGAGCTGAAGCTCAGTAGAAATGTCACTCAGTTGCTCAGGGTACTGGACTGTATCCCCAGCCACAATGAGATACAGAGAAACTTGTTTGGTATCCTGTACACTGTTGTGCATAGGTTGGTTTTTAATTCTGTTTGAGGTTAGGGCAGGTCAAGGTCAGTTGTCCACTTCTGTGCTGTTGACACATTAGAAGATCCTCTTCTTTTTAACTGGACCCACTGCTAACTTTAAGAAGCTTTGTAGCCTGTGGGAGGTGGAGGTTCTCACTGATCCATGGTCCTGAAGCAACCAAGCCAAGGGTTAAATAGTGGTCCCACAAACAAACCCTGAATTCTGCACTGGTGGTAGAAAAGTGAGGGACTTAGTGCCCTGCCTGCTGCTCTAAGTGCTTTCAGATGAATTCCAGACATTCCTTCACATTTCCGTGAGGGGCAGCATGGATATCACATTGTTCACAGGACATAGGATTAGAGTTCTAAGCACAGCTTGACTGAAAATGCCCAAGGTTGTAGGCAGCTCTGGGAGCCCAGTCTTGGACTCCTCCCAATGGTTCCAAAATCCTCCTGAGGAAAGGGACAGGGTTAATCTGGTAGTTCTCAGGGCCTGTGTCCTGAACTCTCAATACACTTGACAGCAAACGCCTACCTACAGTTGTCACACAGATCCTGGAGGTCAAGCTTTCTGTCAACCTCAGTCCTGGTGCTCTGTTCCACAGTGATCCTTGGGTGAGGGTATTTGCTACCAGCCAAGAGAGGTGTGGACACCAACTATGAAGCCCTTCATTGCGGGAGCTCCTTACTATTTAAACATCTCAGTGGCCAATGTCAGAACCTCTTACTCTCCACTAGCACTTCTCATGGCCTTCTCCCACTCAGACCCTGAAGTAAGGTGTCCCAAGATGCTCTGATGAGATTCACACTTAGTTTTTCAGTCACCAGTTCAGTTCAGTCTCAAAGAGTAGGCTGTCTCACAGTATGGTGCCTTGATATACATTTTCATGATATGGGGAGTAAAAATATGTGATGCTATCTTGTCATCCAGGGGAAGTCACTGGCACGTCAAATTGCGTGAATGGGTTTAAGGATTGGGTAAAGTGAGGCCTCTTCTCAAGGTCTGCCACACTCTCACCAAAGTCACTTCGCTTACACTGTGACTGAGTTGTTGGATCCCTCCACCTCGGCGTGGACCTGGGCTGGACCTATAGCCCATTTCCTACTTTATTTTATGATATTCTGTTTTCCCAATTTCCAGGTGCCCTGTTCCTCTCTGAAAGTTCCTGAAGTTCATCCTCTGTTTCTCTCTGCAGGATACAGTCTCTTCTTTGTTGTCCTGACTCTTCTCACTCACAGAATCAAATACAGAAAGCTTCAATTATGCAATCATTCCCTGTTTCTAATTGTGCTGTTTTCATAAACAGTATTGTAATTTATTAAGAAAATAAGAACAGATCTATTATTTGATCTAGCAATCCTAGGTACATATGAAAGATTTGTAATCTGAATATGGTAGCAATGCCTAGAATCACTTGCTTATTGAAGCAGTTTTCCCAATCCCCAGGTGTCCATCAGTGAATGTGTGGAGGGAGAAAATGTGTAATATGTAGAAAATAATATATTAATTATCTAGAAAGAATGACTTCTTATCACTTTGGCAATGAGTATGTTACATGAGAGTAAAGCACAGGTGAAGTAAGCAATACTGAAAACAGAGATATAACACATAATGTCCATCATGTGCAGAAGAATAAAACGGATCCTATAAATGGAAGGAGAGGAAAAGAGCTGACTAGAGACTGGGAAAGATGGAGAAGGAGATGGAGCAAAGGGGATGGCTTCCAAATATGGTTAGGAATAAATAATTCTAGTGTTCCACAGCACAGGCAGTCACTGTATTTTACAACAATGTGTTATGTACTTTGAAATAACAGGAGAAGGAGGATATTCACATTTCCAACAAACATAAATGATAAATTTTAGAAGATACAGATATGTGTTTCTAATCTTTTCACTACACCTGCTGTACATGTATCAAATATTTGTACATGTATCAAATATTACAATCTTTTCACTACACCTGCTGTACATGTATCAAATATTAAATATTATGTTTCAGTTTAAAGCTACATAATGAGACTGTAGGAAGAGCTAAGAAGCAGAGCACATGACTGGCTTGCATGAGACCCTGGGTTCAAACTTCACTGCAAAAGTTAAAGAAATAGATGGATGAATCAATAAGTCATTAGCACTGTGGCATAGAGCTTCCATAGTGAGTGTAATGGTTTGTTTTCAAAACCCAGTACTGCATAAATATTTAAAAATAACATAAATTATTCAATTAACTTAATTGAATTTCAAACTTGTGTCACTGTAAGAGATTTAGTCCACATTCTAAGCAATGTTGGCAATCTAAATCAAATCATTTGTAAAATATAATCTAATATATATCAGTACAATTTGTCCAGGTAATGTAAAATATATTAAGAATCCAAATGTGAAAAGTCTAATTCATATAAGAATGTGCAATGTATTATGATCATACAAGCACCCTTAAGTAATAAAATAATAGTTTCCATAAATAAAGAACGTCAAACATATTGGGAAATGATTGAATGCATCCATCATTGATTGGGAATGATGTTAATATGTGAGGTAGCATAAATTAGGAAAAGGTTTTCAACGTGGCAAAGAAATAGAAATAGTCTCATAAGAAAGTCCTCATTGTTCATCTGTATGATCACTGTTAAGTAATAATAATTCAATGAAGAATCTATAATTTCAATAAGGTTATTGGAAGCTGGACACATGCAAGAAATGAACAACATTCGATTTGTGTATAGTAGAGTACGAAGTGAAAATAAAAGTAGAAAAAGTTGACAGCACTTGTTGTTATGACAATGACTTATTATTTGTGAGAATCCTTCTCAACAAACAACTGGGAATGCGGGTGTGTGCCAGTGGTCTCAGCTCCATGTGAGGGGAGGTAGGATGATTACAAGGTAAAACCCATCTCTAGCACAAATATGAGACTCTTTGTGAAATAATTATCTCAAACAAAAATAATCTGATGTGACTGGAGTGGTAGAGAAATTGCCTAGGAAGCACATGACTGAGTTCATGCACCACTACCACCAAACAGAAAAAATAGAAAAGAATTATTTCTAGTGATCTGAAGAGACCTCACTGACTCCGAATCACTGACTGTGAATGGTAGGAGCTGGCTGGGTAGGAACCAGAGCTTCAAGAAGAAAAGTTCATGTGTATCTGTTCCTAACATTGGGACTGAAGCTGTGCTGGCCGTGAGCTGAGCGCCCCATGCTGACCCTGAGTGTACTTGCAGGGAGGTTTGTGTCTGTGCTCACACTGAGGTCCCCTCACTGTGCTTCTTGCACAGTAATACACAGCTGTGTCCTCTGTGGTCACAGAGCTGAGCTGCAGGGAGAACTGGTTCTTGGACGTGTCTCTGGTAATGGAGATGCGGCTCTTGAGGGATGAGCTGTAGTTAGTACTTCCACCAAAAGTTATGTACCCAATCCACTCCAGGCTCTTCCCAGGAGGCTGGCAGATCCAGCTCCAGACACAGTTACCACTGGTAATGGAGTAACCAGAGACTGTACAGGTGAGGGACAGGTCTCCGAAGGCTTCAGCAGGATAGGTCCTGACTCCTGTAGCTGCACCTGGGACAGGACACCTGGGAACAAGAAGAATCATTATGATCAGTCATCAGCAGTCATCAACTTCCCATAGACCCACATGTGAACTTGAGGATACTCACATTGGGGAGCTGTGACCAGGCACAGTAGACGACCCAGTGGTCTCATCTTCTGGACCACTGTCCTGACTTCCCCAGAGACCTCAGTCTTGTGTGAGGACAGAGCTGTGAGCCCCTCCAGGCCTGGGGTGTAATTTAACCTAGAGCATGAATAATAATTTGCATGTGGAAAGCCCTCTAGTTATACATGGGGATAGATTGAAGCCAGGGTTACCTGGGTCTGATGTGCCCTGGGAGTGATATCTGATCTAAAACTCAAGAGGTGTTTACATTCATGATATGTGATAGCTGGTTTTAGAGGATGATGGAAGCTGATTAAGGAAGATCTCACCTTTCCTGGACAGAACTTTTGTTTCCATTGTCAGCTTAGACCTCTCTCCACTCAGGTTTTAGTTTTCGTCCTTTGAGTTGATCACAACAGAGCTCCTCTTTTTCCCAATGTTCCCTCTTCTGTGGATTATATACAGTCGCTGTGGGAACCTGTTACATTGTCAGACTCCTGTTCTTATATGAGATGAAGATCTCTGCTGTTCTAATTCCAGAGAAATGTCCAACAGAATATTCTTTGAGAAGTATGCCAATGTCCTGTGTACAAAGATGTGGATTTGGTGTAGACATTGGTGAGAGTTCTTATTATCAGATACACATGCATGAGGTCTTTGTTTCATTACCACAGGTTTTGTTCCCTAATTTATTTTCAATAATTATATATTTTTAAAATTTATTTTGTGTTGGGCATTGAAAAAGTGTCCATTTTGATTCCATCACCTTTCACACAATTGAAGAATGATCTTTAATTCAGAATGTCTGAGGCAGTTATGATTCTCCTATTTATGGTGAGTTTATTCTTCTATGACATGAAGATCACTCTTGTTCTAAAGTAAGATTTTTTCAACATGATAATCCAGTTTACAGTTATTCCATTGCGTGGGACTTGGAAAATGAAGAATCATTTTCAAGACATCTCATTCTTCAAATGGAGGCAATTTCTGTATTTCAACAATAAAATATTTGTAACTCTGAATGACATCAAGCAGTTTTCTAGATTGAGTGATAAAATTTATTGGCTGGAAGACACCCCTTAACTGACTTCCTGGGAAAAATCTGTGGTGATTCTTGAGGGTCCCCTGCTAATCCCTGGGCATCCTCTCCTGCTGGTCCTGAGTTCATTTCTCTGGTCGTGGGCGCCCCCTGATGGTGCTGAGAACACCCTGCTCTTCCTGAGTGTTCTGTGAGTCCTGGACACGCCTGGTGGACCTGAGTGCCCCTGCTGGCTATGAGCAACTCTGCAGGGAGGAAGGTTTCTGGAATCACACTGCATGCAGATCACAGTGCTTGGGCATGGTATGACACACCACTGTCATTAGCTGTCACAGTGTTCAGCTGTAAGAACACTTGGCTCTTGTCTGTTTTCCTGGATTGATGTCTCTGGACTGCAAGTTGAGGCTGCAGATAGTTCTCCCTTTACTGCAGATCACATCAGTTCACTAAAGGCCTTTCCCTGCTCACAGCTAAACTCATGACACAGAATGTTCTGAGACTGAGATTGTGTAGGTACTACAGGTGAAGCTGATCCTCTGACAGGAGACCAGGGCTCCCTCTCTCCATTGCATGTTGTGGTCCTTGGCCTGGCCCCCTGGTGACAAGAGGCAATCTTCAGTCACTCAGACGTATCTGCTCATTTTCACTGGCCCATTTTTAAATCCACACTGAGTGGAGACACCAGGAAGAAAAATAGAGACGGAGAAGCCATACGGATGTCTGCAGGCTTCAAAAGACCCTGTCCACATCATGACATTAAACACACTTCCTCTACTCATCCTGCACCTGTGGCCTGTTTGCATTGGTGAACTGATGGGCAGGTCAGATACGGGAGGCCAGAGCCTCTATTGCTGTCCTGTGGAAAGGGTCACAGAATGGATTCATCTTCTGGGAAGAGGAGGGCAGCCCTGGAATGTAGGAAAATTTAGAGTGGACTAGGCCTGGGATCTGAGAAGCTCTTCTCAGAAAGGTCTCCTTCTTATGCTTTACTGAGTTTTCTTGGGAAAAAAATTTGTAATCCATGATGATCTATTGATTTTTTGCAGAAGAATCAATTGCAGTGAGAGTTTAAAAAGGTTTTCCTCCCATTAACAACTATATAAAATTATATTGTTTGCAAATTATGAATAAAAAGAGACTGTTTCCTTTTTTGTCATCAAATCCATTCAGAAAACATGAAATGTTCATAGTTTGACTATTGGATATTTAATTATTGAATAAATTGTCTACCTTGTTTTGAAATCCTGATTGTCTGTTTTCTAATTGAGGCAGTCTAATGGAAAGTCTTGCACCTGGGCTTTTTAGTTGGTTCATCTAGTTTTTCCTTGCAGGACTACATTCATTAGTAATACAAGTGGATTTCATGAGATAATTCCTTAGGTGGGTATGGTATATTTTCAGCAAGTTCATCCTTCGATAGAATTCTCTTTCACATCTTGCAAAGTCTTTCTAATTTTCTCTAGTTATTTATCTATATTCTCTGTTAATTTTTTCAGATGTTTTTTAAAGCCTTCTTGAAATCATGGATTATTCTTTAATAGTCCTTTGTGAAGGATTTCATCTACTTACTCTCATTAGTGTCTATTTTTGTGCAATTGTTGATGTTTTGAGGTCTCCTTTTGCCTTAATTTCTAATAATTCCAGTATGTCTGCATCGGGATATGCACATAGATTTGTGGTGGGACTTTGCAATGTTTCACACAAGTACCATGGATATAGTTCAATAGCCAATTATTTTCACACCATGCACAAGTCATAGAGCCGAGTCACAAGCACCACAAGAGGGAGGGGGAAATCTTCCTGCAAAATGAATTGCAATTGACTGGCACAGCTCTGTGGAAATGCAGTAGTGACCAGTAAAACACTCACCATCACAACTTTAACACCCTGAGAGGAATTAAGGAACAAAGAGAGTGTGAGGTGAGGAGGAAAAATGACAGTAGTAAGTGTAGAGACAGAATGGAAATGGGTGGAATAACATTAGTGAGAAGTACAAGAAATACAGATGAAGAAATTGAAGTATAAATGAAAATTAAATGGAAGGAGTGAAAGAAATATAGGGAATGAAGAAGATCCAGCTAATGGTAAAGTGAGCAGGAGAAATAAAATTATGATAATAAAGCTGAAGAAAATATAACCAAATCTATGACAATAAAAAACAATTCAGAAACCCGGAAAAAGAAAACCCGGGAAAGAAACTGATGTATTTGATGAAATAAAGATTAAAAATTGAAGGGAAGGAGCAAGCAGATGGGGAAGGAGGCAATTGAAAATGTAATATGGAAACCTGGGGTGTCTGGATGAAGAGTCTACAAACATGTTAAATGTGAAAATCACTTCAGGCTAGTAAAAAATCAAAGAAACTTTAAAGAAATTCTTTAAAATAGAATAAAATTCAAAAGTAAGTGAATGGACCACTTTGGTTTAAAATGTCTCTATAAACAATTGGACAATTGAACGAAAATTGGGGAAAATAGAAAGGTAATTTTTCTTTGAAATAGAGGTATGAAAGCCTTCCAGTATTCTAATGGTGCCAATCTTGACCGAACTTTCCTGGGTCATATGACACTGGAAATTCCAGGTCATCTATTGGGCAGACTGCACATTTAAGTAAATAAAATCAACAGACAAAAATCAGTAGAAGTTTTATCCATTAATTGCATTGCAGGAATTGTAATGGAGATGAATGACATTTGCAATAGCTGCCAAAACAAGAATGCACAGGTGTTCACATAAGAAAATTGGGTCTTACTCCTCATTTACTTCATAGTTTTTCATCACTCAAAGGTTTGGATTTATTTTGTAGCTGCCAAGACAACACAAACCTGGGGGAGGGGAAACTCTAATATTTTAATGTTATGAGTGGTTGTAACATTATTAAGCCAGTCTCTAAAAGAAATATTGTAGAAGCAACCTATACATGGTGCTAAGAATAGTGAAAATCAGAGACAGGAATTGGATGTTCCACAGGGCTGGTCAGATAGTGTGGCATGTGTTCTTGTTTGGGAACAGAGAAAGAGTGCAGGTGAAGGTAAGTGGTAGGGAGCCCAGACAGTCTCCATTTGATGTCACCAAAATGCTATTTTGGTAAATTATATGATTTGCACTTTACCACAATTCAAAAAATTGCACCTTATAAATGAAAATGATAAAGAAAAATGCATGCCCTCCAGAGAATCTACCTTCTTCTGAAACTAGATGATAATAATTTTCCCATTAGAGCTCCATCCAAAGAAACTTGAGCTGGGAAGGACACCCTCATGCTGCAGTGACAGTCGTGCACTGCTCAGATTTCAGTGCAGGTTGAAAGCTGCACAGTAAACTGTGTCTTTTAGAGAAAGTGGTACAGCAGGGCTAGTGTTGTATGACGTCCAGGTGCCACACTGGATGGGTCTCAGAGCCCGAAGAAGCCATCATCTCACCTGCTGTAGAAAAACAGCATTACAGCCCTTGCAATGGAAAATCGTTATAGCAACATGGGCACCCAGTTTCGAAATGTCATTTCCAAGTTTAGCTCCTCAGTCACCTAGGAGGATCGACACAGATCTGAGGCACACTCTGCAGACTTCAGTGATTCACTCTTCCCTTAATACCCAGGCAGCTACAGCCTTGGATTCCATATGAGGAAGTTGTGTGGTGAAGCCAGTCTGAGAAAGTTCTTCCTGTCTCAGTTACCTGAGAATTCCAAACAGACACCGTTATTCTTTGTATTTCTATCATATGGTGAAACCTTGTCACTGACATTGCATAGAGTGGTGGTGGTGACTGTCATGTCAGCCACTGTCCAGAAGGTTGAAACTATTACCATTTAATTTTTCACATTTAAATTAACTCCACAAGTCCATCTTTGTTGTATGGCCACTAATATCTCTACTCACTTTGCTACATGATTAGTTAATGATTGCACATATAGTGTTTAAAAACTTGGTCCAGTACATCTTCGAATTTTTGTAAGAGTTTCAAGTGCATGTTAGGCTTGTGTCTCTCAACCAGGGAGGTCAGACTCCT